TAATTAAAAAAAGTTATTATTAATAAAAATTTTTTTATAAAAAATATATAATAAAAATTTTTATATTTAAATAAATTTCAATAAGATAAGATAATTTATTAATATTTATTTGAGATATAAATCTTTTTATATTAATTTATAATATATAATTTTTTAAGTATATAATTTTTTTAATAAATATATAAAAATTAATTTTTTGGCTTATTTAAATTTGATTTGATTTTTAATATCAAAAATGGGACAAGTCACGTGATTGGCGTCTTTAAGTGTCCTGCACTGTACATTTGGTATAATATTAATTTAAAATTGTAATTTATATAAATATTATTAGTTAAGTTTAATTAATCTTTAACTATAACAGTCATTTTGAATTCATATAATAAAATATTCACTTTGTCTGGTTTTTTTGCCACATGCCCCATATTATACTATTGTTTACTATAGTTTTTTAATGTACAGTGATTTATTACAGTATATATTTAAACTTGAAAAAAACTCATTATAATTTAATTCTTTAGGATCTACTCCCGTGACCGCTAATTTGAACGAATGATAGTTTTTTATGATAATGAAGACCCCCCAAACTGTAAACTATAGACAGTTAAAAAAAGAATGAGCACCGAACAAATACCTCAAGAGACGACGACAACGAATGTGTCACCTATGGAAGACATTCAAATGCCACAACAACCTTCGGAGCAGCAACCACAAGACATAATAAAGCCAACAACAATAACACAAGAGAATTCTGAAGAGCCAAAGCAACATCAAGAACAACCACCTCAATCACAACCACAATCACAACCACCACCACCACCACCATTACCTCCTCCCTCTTTCCAATTGCAAATACAGCCACCACAACCTCAATTGCCACCACCACCAAGTCAAATTTTGCCTGGTCCTAAAGTAGCTCAAGAACAACCACCACCGCCAGGACAAGTTCAATTACCAGTGCCCACTCAACCGCCGCCTCCGAGTCAAGTAACAACCTCAGCGACTCCAGTGACAGCAGCAACAATAGCAACATCAACAAACCTTGCTGCAGCTGCATCTATTTCAGTAATTACACAACCGCCTCCTCCAGGTCAAGCTACACCACCAACTTTACCATCGACAACAAAGCCTCCTCCCTCAGCAAAAGTAAATGCCAACCCACCTTCAATTCAGATGCAACCACCACCTCCTGGCCAATCTGCTCCTTCACAAGCACCAACTCAGCCACCACCACCTGGACTTGAATCGAGAGCTACAGAATTCCTAGCACAACTTCAACTCTTACCAAAAGCCGCGCTTGCCTTACAAGCTAGCAAGGCACAGACGCTTGGAAATCAATCGATACAACCTTCTCAAACTCTATCAAGCCTTCCACAACAACAGGGGGGATTGAATTCTGCTGCTGTAGTCGATAACAAGAAAAAGGGCGGCGCCGCGCTCTCGCGAAGACCCACACAACCATTACTCCTGTTGTTACACGAATGCAGTAAGGAGGTAACTCTCTTTGACAAAAAAATCAATAAAAATATAAAAATAAAAAATAGAAATAAAAAGCAGGGAACTGAAAAATTTTGTTGTTGTCATTATTATTATTATTATTATTGTTGAATATATAAATATATACGGTCATCATCATCATCATCATCGTTCTCGTCGTTTTAGTATATCACTGGATATCTTTCGAAAAAAACAGAAGAGGAAACAACAGAGTTATTTAGCGATCGAAAGAAATTGCATGCTGATTTAAAACTCTTTTGCAACGAGATTGTTGTTCAAACAACAAGAGATCGAATTTTGCAAGAGTTAGATGAAGTAAGAACTACAGAGTCAAATTTGTAAATCTAATTATTTTCTTTATATCTTTCTTCCAATAAAGCATTCATCATCATCATTTACTGCAGAAAGGAAAGGAGGTTGTAAAGGATATTACGTCCGAGTCTGAAGTATGGATTTTTTTTATTTACATGATTTTGTATTATTTTTTCATATTTTTAAAATTAATTGATTTATTATTTATCTATTCGTAGAATTTTAAAGCGAAATTTTTGGAAACTTTTACATTACACAAGATATTTACAGATGCGCTTGAAGAGGTCAAATTCCAAAGCAATTCAGTTGCTGTGCCCGAGAACGGGGTATCAAATCAAAACACTACTTCACCAGGTGCTGTTTATTACGACTTCATCGCAAATTCTTTAAATCTCGTAAGAATATTTACTAATAATGCCGAGGATTTTTTTAGAACTTTTAACGGTATTTCGATTATGGGAACAACACAATAAAAAAGATGTGGCAGTAATGCAAAATGTTTATACAGACCAACCACGTCCTCGTGGTAGAGGTTATAGTAGAGGAGGTTATTGGCCACAACGTGGTGCACCTCCAAGACATTCTCCTTATCCACAACAAGGAGCACCTCGTCGACGTGATTGGGGAGGAGGTATTCGTGATGATCGAGATTATAGAGATCGACGACCAGATGATTATCATAGAGATCGTCGTGATGAATATCAACGTCGGGATTATGATCGTAGACAAGACTATCGAGCTCCACCACCAGGACCACCTCCGTTTGGACGTGAAAGGCCCCAATTAGCTCGAAGAGATGATCAATATCATCGACCGGGAGGGGCATATGATGATAGACGAAGAGATACGAATAATATATATGATCGTAGACCTGATGATAATAGACATTCTAGAGATTATCGTGGTCCGCCACCACATCCTGGTCCTATTGTGCCACCTAAACCATCACCGGCAATTTATGAAGCACCACCAATGCCTCCCAATCCACCTCCCGCTCATCAAATGCAACCATCATCACAAGCGGGATATGAGTATCAGCAATACTCTTCAGAACAGCAATTTTCTACAAGTAAGTGAGTTTACAAAATCATATCTATAATTTATTCCTTTCTTTAATCATGCGTTCGAACTTTTATATTAGCTCCAACGGGATATCAGCAAGATTATACTGGCCAGACTTATGCTGGTTACTATCCACAATACCCACAAGATCACCAATTGAATGGACAAGCAACAAATCAATACCAATATCCTCAAACTGGTGCGGCTGCCGCAAATACCACAGGTTGGGATGCTGCACAGATGCAAACAAGTCAATCTCACATCACATCATTCGGATGGAACCAACCAGGACGACATACAGCAATTCCATTGCCCACGTAAGTATATCTAGAATCAACTCTATTTTGCACTTTGTTTCTCATCGTTTCTTTTTTTTTACGTTATAGGGACTTCATGGCTGGCCCAAGTTCTGCACCAAGATTGTCAATGCCAGAACCGCATGAAGTGCTCGGTGTGATAAAAGGTGTGATTATTCGAGATGCTCAAGGTAATATCGGGTTGAGTAAATATCATTTCAGTACGATGTAGCATTGCGCGTCATCGATGCTTTATCCAAAAAAAAAGAGTAAAACAGTAATTAATCAAAAAAAAAAACTCTGCTCTTGAGGAAAAAAACAATTTAAAAAAATTCAAAACAAATCAATTCAAATCGACAATTGATAATTATGGTTGATAGAAAAAAGCATTATTGTTACAAATGAATGCCTTACTACTATTATTAGTATTATTATCATAATTAATTATTATCAATTTGTCACTGGAAACTGGAATCAACGACCAGCAAAAGCAATCAGCAAACATATTTCTTTCAAGAGCTTTATATAATAGTGCAGAACAAATTTTTGGTGCTTTATGTTTGTGTATGTCTATTTTTTTTTTTTTTGCTTTTTTGTTATGATGGATATATATATATAATAGATAATGTTCGGATGAAAAATGGAATGCGATTTTGTTATCACTACTATTACTATGATTATTACTACTATTACTATCTATTATATAATAAGGCGAAAAATATTTTGTTTTGGATAATTTATTTTTTTGTATATTTGTTTACTAAATTCTATAATTTGCTGGGTCATCATGAAATTATTACCCGTTATAATTAATTCTTTGATTGTACTCAAAATGCACTCACTTTATTCTTACATTTTGTAGTAGACTACTGGATTGCGAATAAGTTTGAGATCGCGAGCATGGGATAATGATGATCTGGGATCGGAACAGAGGTAGACGTTGTTGACCCGTCAAGATAAGTATATGACTAGTAGGTGGTTTATAGATTTTAATTCAATTTAATTGGAATGAATTGCTCTTTTCTGCATATATTGTGGCGGGTCAAAGAATGATATTTTTGCGTGAAATTTTCTATTATCCATTCTTGTTATTAATTGGACCGATGATTAAATTATTTTTTTTATAAAAATATGAATTCTTGGAATTCTTGTCGAGTATTTGATCTTCAATAAAAATATTCCTTTCGATCCCAAAACTTTAAATGAATAAATGAAAAATGATACTCTTGATTTTCATTGATTGGTCATCATGAATCTATCCAAAGTCACCACAACGCAGAAACTTTCAAGATGCAAACTACTATACAATGTGCTCGAGGTTCGCGTTATAAGTGGTGGTGGTAGGATCAGAAAGATATACATGGCTTTTTTAACTTGAAGTGTAGTACAAGTATCAGAGAACTTAATAAACATTTTTATAGTTACTATTGTTATTGTTTCTTCCACATATCACAAAAAGCAAAAAATTCCACACAGGACATCCGGTAGCTTCACAATTTAGAGAATCTTTACGTATAAAAACAGTCCAGTCGAACCATGATTATAATTCCTCGACTGCATTTTTGTTAAGGGAGGCTAAAGAGATTAGGGTGTCTTCTAGAATCTCGAAGGTATTTTTTGTTGTCTTTGGAGCACATTGATTTTAGATATCAATAGAAATTGTATCCTTGAATGAAACATATATTTTACATGTTAATCGAATGCTTTTTGTCATAAACACAATATAATTATTATACCTATTGTTTACTTACATGGAGGCCGTGATCCAAAACTACCCACTATATTGTTAATTTTTTACACCAGTATTCAAGGTACAGTGCATGACACTTAAAGATGGAAATAAAAGTGATCATCTTCGAAAGGTCACAAACTTATAATAAATTGGTTTAACCACAAATTGACGGCCTCCTTTTGAAAATAATTATATTTGTTCTGGGACCAAAGTCGGGGAATAAAAATCACGTGAAAAGTTAAAATTCCCCGTTCTTTGATTCATCGCATTTACTAAATTTTCACCCTCATTTCCGGTTGGTCATCATCCATTCAATAGCTAATAAAAGGAATAAAAGGAGTCTGCCAGGGCGATCCCTAAAAGTTCGGACCACGTGATATTGCTTATCGACACCGGCACTTCCGATCTGCCAATTCCGACCCATGGGATATTACTTAGCTTGATCCGGTCACATTTAATAATATATTAAAAAAATAAAGTTAATATA